CCACCCTGGCCCGGATGTCTCCTGTCTGGTTCCTCGGCTGCTGGGGACCAGGCTGAAGGGGCTGCGGGTGACCACGGTGCTGTGCTCTCAGCCCACTCCTTTTCCCAAGGAAACAGTCATTGTCAGTTGGTTAAATGAAACAAAGAAATGGGCCAGGGTAAGAGGATATCTTACTGGAAGTCACAGCAAAGAAGGCTTTTCTCAGCCGTGGGGATCTGACTCTCAATACGTTGTGACCTATGCTCAGCCCTGGCTCTCTGACAGGGACTTTCCACAGCGGTTTGAGCAGTTACAGTATTGGAAAGACCCTTGGGAGATGGGAAGCTGGCTTGTGAAACTAAAAACCTCCCCCGAAGGCTGTGCCATGCCTACACGCTGCTGACAGAGCTGGGCAGGGTCTCGGGGTGGTGGGGAGAAGCGGGGCTCCCAGGCAGGCAGCACGGCTTGTTCGAAGCGCTGGGTGGACATGGGGTGGCCTTCAGTCCTACCCACGATGAGCACAGGAGGGGCATGCAGCACGGGGGAGGTTAGGGACACACCATCTGCCCGGCTCCCAGCTCCGTGGGACACACTCAGCCTGTTTGCTCACCCACTTTTGCAGGAACTCTTGCAGTTCCCAGGGTGGGCGCACATGGCACAGCTACCCAGTACGGTGGCAGCTCCCCGCAGAGCCTCCTGCACCTCCAATTCCTCCTCTGGGTCCCATGGAAAAGCAGACAAGCTTTCTGGAGCTGTAACCCCCAGAGCACAGTCCTGGTTTTGCCATCTCACAGTCTGGCTGGGCATCGGAGCAGGCAATCCCTGCATATGCTGACAGATCTGCGAGATGTATTTGCTGGGCACATTTTGCTCCTGAAAAGTGAGAGCACCACGCTCATCATGGAATGCTTGTCCATGGCTCACCCTTCTCCCCCTTGACACCTGGGTTGGTGTGTTTCTCTTCAGGCATCTACCACATCCAGATGTGCTCCCCGACAGGGAAGGGACGTGGATATCCTCAGGGAGGTGTCACCTCACCTCCTACAAACCTCTGCAGAGATGCAGGGGATCACACCCAGATGTGTCCACACCTTCCCTATGGCAGGAACCCCAAGTGACCAGCCTAAGTGGCACTAAATTGTAAAACCTGACCTGAAAGTACCTGTCAGTGAGGAGGGAGCAGGCAGAGACACGTAGTCAGTGCCTAAATTCAGGTGGAATCCCAGCACAATCAGGAGTCCTGGTGCCTTTGAGCCTGGTTTGGACAAAGTCAGGAACACAGAGGTGCTACGAGGAACACAAGCAAGTTACCAAGTCTGCATTTTTCCTAAGGAGTTGCTTTGTTGTTTCTCGCCCAGCAAGGAAGCTAGAACTACAGCTAGAAGAGAAACAAGCAGCCTGTTATAATTACAAGCACATGACAGAAAGGGCAAAAAAAAATACACAAGGAAATGGAAAGAGATGAGCTGCAAGGCCAAATGAAAAGACACCAACATTGTCTTCTAAATTAATCTCATAGCACCAGTAAAGCCCAGTACCCCTTCCAGAAGTGCCACGTGTTTTTTTACCTCCTAAGCCAGGAGCAGCTAGCCAGTAAAGGCACGGCTGCACCATTCAGAGGAGGGCAGACCCAGCCTGGAGGCACGTGCCCAGCAAACCCACAGCCACAAGCTGCAAGATGCCACTCCAGAAAGCACTTGGGATGCGTCCCAAACCTCTCTGCTCGTGTCTGTCAGCATTCACATCCTTCTTGAGCATCCTTCTTGAGCTCCAGCAGCCTCCCAGGGAAGAGATCTTGTAGGGCATGGCCCCTTGGGTTGTTCTCTCAGTGGAGAGTGTGCCAAGGGCTTGGTCTGAAGGCTGTATGTAGGATTGGGGTGACGTGTCCAAGCCCAAAAGCTGGCTCTGCATCTGAGCTGTGCCTCCCTAACGTGGCAGGTGAGCAACCCCCCCTGGAGGCCCATTAAAAAAAATACATCTTGTGAATGGGGAATACTTATCTCCAAATTTTCTTCCAAAGCCACGTTTTGGCAGGGCTCACGTGAAGCAGTGCCCAAATCCAGCTACAGACTCCTATGGGTAAGGAGGGACGAGGAGGTTACAGCCAGGAGCTGAGCCAAAGCCATGACTTCGTGTGCTCCTGGCCAGCGCAGGGGCAGAGCGAAAGGCATCGTGTGATTGAGATGCTCCAAGTGCCCCTAGTACCCCATCTGAGAGGCAGAAGAGGAGCCCACCCCAAACACAATGTGCTTTATAACCAGTTCCCAGCAGTGCCAGTGTTAAACCAAGCACTGAGCAAACACAGATGGTGGCAGGGGGCTGCTTCCACTGCGTTTCGCACCAATTCCTTCACTTTTTGGAACCACCGCAGCAGAAGATTTCAAAGCAACACCAATTTACCAGTAAAAACAACCATCCCAGCTGAGCCTCATAAAGACGGGCAAGGGGGAAAGCTCAAAAAGCGAGGAGCAGGGAGGGCCCAGCAGCCAGCAGGTTTCCGTGCCTGCACGCTACCAGGAGATGGCAGAGCGCACCGCGCCGCCTGGGCTGCCCGCAGCATCTCAGCAGCCAGCGCACGTCCTCGGGTTTCAAAACAAAAGGCTGGGGACGGGCATTTCTGAGCTGTGATTCCGTCATTTTTTTCACAGATAGCGATGAAGAAAGAGGATTTGAAGAAGGGTGTTTGCTTTTTTTCCCCCTATTTCCCCCCTCACCTTTTAATCACCAAATAGGCTCAGGTTTCCTTGCAATATTTTGCTAAAAGACTCCTGACAGACTCCAGCAGCAAAACCCAGGTATGGACATTGATGCCCACATATCCAGAACATTCTGCCCCACCCATCAGTGGGACACTGAAAATACGAGTACTGATACAGACTCATGTGTGTTCTGGAAAGTATTCCTAGTTTTGTGCCCTACAGGAATCATACCTTGCCAAAGGAAACCGAGTTTCCAAAGCAGCCCATATGTAAGACTTGCAACCTCTCTGCAGCTTGATGCCTTTGCTCTGAGTGGCTCCTCGTCACAGGGGAGAAGGTGCTAAAAGCAAGTCCTAAGAGATGAACCAGAAGCAATCAGGAGGTGACAAGCAGCCCATGAGATGTTCAGATACAGACAGAGCAAGAGTTCCTGCATCTCCAGCCTGACAAGTCCCTTTTCAGGATATGACACAAACATAACCACAACGTGGGGAAGCACCCCGGAAGGTGAAGGATTTTCTTCCATAGGCTCACACTGGTATTTTTCCTCATGATCCCACATCCTGTATGCCAAAGAGCCATTTCCAACAAGAAAGTGATAAAGAGCAGCGCAATCACCACTGGCACTGCACGATCACATTCAAATCCAGTTAACAATGACACGTCAGGATTAAGCCAGCTGTCAGTAAGCATTTCACTTGTCAGCGCTGAACAAGATAAATCCTCACCAATAATGACACGGCTCCTAGTTCCCACACGCACTTACGGCTGTACATGCCTAGGTAAGCGAGTCTCCAAAATAATGCCGTATTTTACTACGCTGCCCAGAGGCACAAAACACCAGATCAAACACTTCCTCCACGAGGTCTTCCAGCTTAGAGTCGCCACGCTTACAATTAAGATCTGCAAGAAACACAAGGCAGCTCTGAGAGGTGACTGCAGCCGCCTGGATGAGACAGAAACAGATCCCCCTTTGTTGCAGGTACATATTAAAATTAATTCACTGGAGTCGCTGAACTCAATCTGTGCTACAACAGGATGAGATAACCAGGCCAGGAGAAGCTGGCTTATTTAACAGTTGATTATGAAGGAGGTTAATGAAGAATGCCAGCTCCTCACACACCAAAGATAAAGAGTTTCTTCCCCCAAACAGCCCAAGCTCACGGCAGCCTGCTTGGCCAGCAAGGGCTGAGCTCTGCACCGTGCTGCCCGGTGCCCACAGTCACTCACCACGCCGTGTCCTGCCTCTCTGCCTGCACAAACCACCCTGCCGTGCCATGAAGGGAAAGCATCACCCCGAGGAGAAGCCACCATCCCGAGGTTCAGCACTTCCCAGTTGTTTTACCCTGCGTGACCTCCAGCAAATCCCTCACCCTCCCTGGGCACAACTTGTGCCCTTCCTCTGCCCTCCCGGGGGACGAGCTCGTGAGTAAGAGTACTTTGCAGAACAGGGCCAGGGTTCACCAAGGAACATTTTAACCGGAGGCTGAAACACAGCACGTGGTGCTGAGCACGGCTGGTGGCCCCTCAAATCCAGTCTCAGTACATCTGGAAGCTCCCTTTGATTCCCCGTGTAAAGCATTTCCAATTATTCCCCTGGGAAAACAACCTTATTTTGCAGTTACTGGGGTCTTTATCAGCTGGCCCTGATATATATATATATTTTTTTTCCCTGTGACCTAAACTCCAGACAGAACGAGCACATAAGAGAAAACAGCTGCAGGCAGTGCTTCTGCGTGCCAAAGTCAGCAGCATTTCTCCCTCTTTTCACTGGTTCACGCACTTACTGCCAGCTAGCTCACCCAAAAGAAATAGCGATGCAGACTGTCACATGCCTTGCTGGATGAGCAAGGCTTCTCCTCACATGATGCACGAGCAAAAATCCCAACGAGCTCTTTGCTCAGCATGCAAAAGGGCAGCACTGCCCCAGCACAGGAGGAGCCTCAGGGGTGCCTTCAGCAGAAGCATGCCGAGCACTTCAGCTCCTCAGAGGACTGGGATGCTGCAAAGTGAAAAATTAAGACACTGACAAATTAACCTATTCAACAAGACTGTTTGACTGAAGGCTTTGCCCTGCCATTCCCCAGCACTTGAGCACCAAAGGTCATTTAACCAGAACTACTGCAAAGTGGCTGTGGAGACAGATCTGGAGAAGAAGCAGGCTGGAGAAAACGGAGTGGTCATTGCAGCACACACACATGCATCCCGTAGGGGAAACACCTGGATCGACACACCTGTGACTGCTCAGCCCAGCCTGCCCACCTCCCAGGGGTGGGTTTGTAGGGAGAGGTCGTGCAGGGAGCCTTTGGCCTCAGCACCTACCTGCCACACCGGGAGGACCTTCTCTATGTCGTTCAGGTTGATGCTGTCACCGTCCTCGTACTTCCCTTTCCCGAGCCTGAGGCAGGAAGAAAACAAACAAAAGCATGAGAAACCTCGCTGGAACCTCCGTTAGTGCTCTATTACGGCACAGGGGGAAGATTAGCACTTACTGCAAAGGACCCTCATAAAAACAAAGAGGCTCTCTGAAGCGAGTAGGTTGCGTCTCCAAAACACTCCCACGTGGGCACAGAGCCATTAATGCCAGATGAAATGCTTTTCCCAGCCCTATCCCCTGCACCAGTGCCTACCCATTCGCCACAGCATTAAAACGCTTTTGGTAACACCAGCAGTGAGAAAACCAAAGGCAGCCCTGAGCAGTAGTTTTAGATGATTCAAGTCCCAGACCGAGCAAAACTAAACAGCCCACTGGGAAGAAAAAACGGGGACAGAAGAACCTAATGAAAAACGCTTCTTTTGAACTGCTGCTCGTTTGCCAGCCTCCACAGGAGCTCCTGTTCCCCTGCTGGGAAAGGTGGCGGCGAGTGAGCACAAACACAGATCTCAAACAGGAGAAAAGCAGTAAACAGCAATCAATATGAATGCAAACACACATTTTGAAACACAAAAAAATCGGGGTGAGAAGCCAAGTACTAACAGGCCAAGTACATAGTTGACAGGGTAAGAATAATTAGCCAGCTTTGCTTGTATCAAGAAATGAAAAAAATTGATCACATAAAGCCTGCTACTAGCTGAATGCAGAGAAAATGAAAACAATAAAGAAAAGGTCAGTACACATTGTTCATCTGCATTTACAAAGAATTTGGGTAATTTATTACGCACAAATGATGATGTATTTTGTGGTCAATTAGCGACAAGATATTGTTCAACAGCTTAGTAGGCAGAAACTCTGACCGCTGCAGGTGCAAATATCCAGTGTCTTTAAGTCCGATGAACAACTAATATTGGTGGAATTACAGTAAATGTAAAATGAAAGACTGAAACGTGCTAAAACACCAAACCTGAAGAACAGCAAGCTGAATGGAAACCTCCACAGCCCAGTGGGGCAGACCACAGATTTGTGAGGTTGTGTAAGAGCAACAGGGGACTAAGCCAAGGCAGTGGAGGACTGGCATTTAGCTAACGCCTTAATTGCTTTGTGCAAAATCAGGTGTGCTCAACAGGCGACTTCCACCACACATGAAATTGCTGCTGTACACAACAGGTCTCTCTGTTAGGACCACCTGGCAAGCGCCCTGAACCACGGAGCCATTACGTCTTATTTTACAGAGGGTCCCTCATCCCATGCTTCAAAACCATCTGTAGGGGCAAATAGGAGCTGTTGCTTACTGAGGCACTTAGAGAGTCTGAAATTCAGTGTTACTCATGTTTGTTTTTTGTTTTTTTTTTTCAATATTCTGAAAATTGTAAATCATAAATATTTACAGTGCAGAAAAAAGACTTACACAATCATGTGAGTTTGCCTGTCACCTGTCACCAACAGATATGGGAGCCTCCTGCAGATGCTGAGCCTGGGCTGGACCGTGAGCCCAGATTGGTAAACTGGTTTTGCCAAAGTATGAACCAACAGAGAAACTTTGCTGAAAGATTTCTATCCCTATGCCTAAAATGGCACTGAGAAGTCATTTGTAGCCTTCCCAGCCCCATCTTTTAGACCCATTCTTATTTTTGTCATCTTCTATGGGCAGGAGATGACTAATCACTAAGAAAAAAAAAAAGAAAGAAAAAAATTACTATATAAAACATGGATATGGCACTTCCTCTGTTCTTTCTTTAGCTGAGATGTGCAGCGAGTTCCATCAGCAATGAGCTGAAGCCTTGTCATAACTTGGGATAAGGGAACAGGTAACACTGCCTGTACCCGAGAACAGTGCTGCCAGTGCGTTAAGCACTAGGACTGAGTGACAAGGAGAGGGGAAACCAAGCTGAGAGTTTCTCAAGTGGCAGAATCTGCAGAGAAACACCAGTTTCAGCAGCACCAGTGAATCTTTTGGTGTCTGTATGCCCATGTACATAGCCTGACCAATGCACAGCCAAAGAATCCAGAAGAAATGTGAAAGCCCTGGAGGCTGTAATCACCAAGACGAACTGCTTAATGCTCTTGTAGTTCATGCCTAGCAGGTAGGGAATGAACATTTTGATCTAGATGGCCCATGTTGATGCTCTGCTCTTCCCTCAAGTCTTGCTGGGGAGAACAACAGAAGCCCTTCCACTCATTGTAGCTGTAACCAGGATCCTTCCCCCAGTATTCAGAGATGCTTAAATCTAGGAGCCATAGCTTGGATCCAGCATAGTTTAAAAGCTGAACTCTTCCAAGCAATGCAAAACACAGCAAACAGCTCTGCTCTAACACAGAGCTGGCTGATAGAGGAGCTAAAGAGACTGATTATGAAGTTCTCAGCCCCAATATATGGCCCAACATATCTTTACCAGGTCTTCTGTGTGGGTCATGCCAGCATTGCCACTGCAAAGGAGAGGTTACACATCTCGAGCATCACCATTTATTTCAGGATAGCTATGCATGTGCACAGTACTCACCCTTCTCTATCTATGTGAGGCAGTGGGTGTTTGGAGGTGTTCCGGAGCTTCCTGTGAAACTGCGTGAAATCTAGTTTTTCAGGCTGCAAGTCCCACGTTGCACCGCTAGGAGAGGAAAACCAAGGAGAGACCAAGACAGTGAGTGCCCTCCTAATTACACACAACCTCGCTGAGGAGCTGATGGCCCACACGAGCCTGCAGACGAGGAACGCTGGTACTTTGGAGGCACCACTCTCTGCTGCAGAGCATGCTGCCACCGGCCTCCGACCTTTATGTTGCTGTGGTGTGCTAAGCCCAGAGATTTGATGTAGACTTATGATGCATCATGACGCAGCAAACACCTTGCTAGCTGCACTTGCTTTTTATAGCAAGGGAGTATTGCAGCAGAGGCTGGTCCAGTCCATGCAGTGCAGATGCTCTCTCTGCTCTAGGGGCCTGGAGCATGTCCCAGGTGGGAACACAACTCCTGCAGTGCTTCAGGCACGGCACACAAATGCATACAACTGGACAGAAAGAGTGTTTCACTGCTCGAGATGGGCAGCACACTTGCTTTCCCCATGCTGAAGCTCATAGCTGCATCGGTCTCACCAGTGCAGCTCTGGGGTGCCCACAAACTATCCTATTAGTACCTTTTTCAGATGTTTGGGCTTCAAACCTCTCCTAAGCAGACACGATGCTTTGAGTAGGTATTTTGTGCTGAGTGCCAAGGACTAAATGTCGAGGAGGAGCGAGGTGAGGCCAGCACCCAGCTGGGCACCCCCAGGACGGGCACACGCACAAACCCTCCTCTCGGAGCGCCTTCAGATCAGCTTACCTGAAGGAGTCGAAGGTGTTGGCAGCCCAGATGTCAGTGCCCAGCATGTCGAGGGAGCCCTCCTTGTTGCCATTCTAGGAAGGAGGGAGAGGTGGTTACTTGGCAGAAGGTGTCCAGCCCTGCCCAGCCTGTGCCGTGCCAGCCAGGAGGTGGCACAGCTCCTTGCCAGCCCAACACAGCCCCCTCGCTCCCCACAAGAGCACAGTGCGAAGGCAGGGAGACACACGGTTTTGGTCTTTGGGACACACAGCTGTGGATGACACAGAGCAGACAACACGTTGGTTGTTGTTGGCCACACTCCACGTGGGCACAAGACCCCCAAGACCCACCAAGACGCAGCATGCTGCCCACGAGGATGCTCAGCACCACAGAAATCCAGGCTGCTTGAGATAGGAAGGGACCTCCAAGGTCATCTGGTCCAACCGAGGTCAAGGAGAGCCCCCTAAAGCCAGGTGCCCAGGCCCACATGGCTCTGTAACAGCTCCAGGGGTTGTCTCCAGCAAGCAGAAAGCCAACCACCAGCGATGCACGAGGCAGAGCTGCCCACGGACCCTCCGAGCACCCCAGGATTTCAGCACAGCACTGACTGCTTCTTCAAGGAGTCATGCTGACACGACCTGGCTTTGCTGCATTAAATCCTCGTGGTGAGACATAACCCTGTGCTGAAACTCCTGCCAGACCCCAGCTGCCGCTGTCCCCAAAACCTGGCATTGCAGAGGGGAGCACACGGTGCACGCAGGCTGTAGGACTGGGGCTGGGAGGAATTGCTAGGGAGCGGCCACACAAACCATCAGACAGCATCGTGCTGAGCTTGCAGGAACGTTTTTTTATCCCCCCCAAGAAGCCTTACAGTATAATCAGACAGGAATTATGAGAAGCCTCCAATAAGCCACAAAGTGCCTCTAATTTTGCAGCGCAGCTGCTTTTTGGAAAATGAGCAGCTCGGAGGAACAGCATCCAAAGCAAGGACCCCAGACTGCTTCTCGTCCTTCACAGCCCCTTTATGCTCACCGACCTCCACCTACAAATACACAATGGCTCCCCAAAATAAGCAGGCTGCCCTTTTTGAAGTATTGCAGCCCAAATGGTCCAGCTCTGGCTAAAGCTGTGCTGGAGAGCGTGGCATCCAAACGCTCCCTGTCCTACAATTCCCAAGGGACACCACACAACCAGACTCTGCCAAAACAATTCCAGGCTGCTTTCAGCCTCAGCACAGGCACAAAAAGCAGGTTCATCTCCTCACACCCATAACACCCTCACAACGAGGGCCCATCAGGGACTGAGAGCCTCTTCAAAGTGGTTAGCCATTGCAAGCACGAGTGATTATAAGCACTGCCCTGCTGCAGTATTTCTGGTGGTTTTCTTCAAGGTTGCTGTTTCCGACGGGCAAGCTATATTTACTGAGATCACACATACCCGAAACCACGATAAACCGTCATGCAGACAACAATTATCATCAAAGATTAGTACGAAAAAATATTTCTTCTGTCCACGTGCAGCTTTCCTGAGGAACTGCTGTTTCCAAATATTGATAATATACAAGACACACACATAAAAAAAAAAACACACACACAAAAAACCCACAAAAATCTGAGTGCTTCTCAGTGAAGTCCCAGACCCCAGTTTGCCACGAAGTAAGGAGCCTTTTCCCAACAAGGACACACACTGTCAGCGCACGCCACAGACAGATTACAGAGCCATTCCCAGCACAACAAACAGTTTAGATGACAGATACTCAAACAGGGGCATTGCTCCTTTTTTTTTTTTTTAATGTCTCCTTTAAGGGGTGTACAGATTATGACTTTAACCTCCAGCGATCTGCAGGTCGAGATGTCTGCACAGAAATAAACTACAAGTAAAGTATGAAACTCCCACAGACAATTACGGAAGCAGAGATTTTATTTTGAGCAAACGTGAGCAAAAATTCTCTCGGCAGGGAGAGAAATTAATTCTCTAAATACTTAAAGGCATTGTCATGCAGCATAATGAAAACAGAGATGTCCACGTCTTTATAGCATCTTTAGTCTTTATTCCTTCTTTGGTCTTCACCCAGAGAAGAAATACCTCTTCCTGCAGACAGATTCATTTCTCCTCCCATTTCTGCAGACACTGGATATTTAATTACCTATTAATGAACGACCTACCATAGGATGTCCTAGGAGTTCACTATTGTGGCTCAGGGAAAAAGCGTGAGAGTGTGCAACCGGTTGCAGTGAGGATGAGATAAATCAGCCACCACAGCTTTAAACAGACACGAGTTATGATAACGTGGGAGTGGGTTCCTAACGCAACAGGTTGTGTCCTAGAACTGTCACCCAAATTCAGCTCAGCCCTTTTTGAGCCCTGAAACCAAGCAAGGAGCCCCTGGAGCTCTGCCTCAAACCTGTCTGGACGTGGCTGGCCCAGCCCCAATTCCCAGCAGCTGTGGGGATGTGGTGAGGAGGTCAGACGGGTGCAAGCCTTGGGGCAGCGGATGGATGCTCCCACCCCAACGGGGCTGCAGCTCCTGGTCCTGGCCACGCCACATCCCCATCACCTTTGGGAGATGCTCCAGGTGTCGGTCTGGCTCCTCGGGGACGGCGCTGGGGCCAAAGGATAATGCAATGTGCCAGTAAGTTGTGAGTCACCGCGGTCACTTCGAGACAAACGCCCTTGCCAGATGGGATGACAGCCTTTATCCTGAAGGAACAGAGCCCAGGAGAGCCACCAAAAAGCAGCGAGCAGCATCCGTGCCCTCCTTGATACCCAGATCCCAGCCCGGTGCTGGGACTCTACAAAAAGGCTTTAAAAAGGCAAATTCTCAAGTCCAGGGTAAAAAAAAAAAAAAAAAAAGTATTTAAGAATAGAAGTTGCTGTCAGTTCCCCCAGGACTGCAATTATAACAGTGAGCAGTTTTAACTTGAAGCTCCCCGTGACCCAACCCTCAGCTTTAGATAATAATTTTCACTGAGAAGGGGTTAGGACTGCTGAAAATTAATTAAGCCACTAGGAACGATGACTGGGAGAGACGGTGGTGAGGACGTCACAAGTGCTCAGAGGCATCCCAGCTTCGGTAAGGCAGCTCCTACCCCCAGGATGGTTTAAACACATTTTTGTAACCTGTCCTGGAGACCCGTGAGCACACCCAGGTGCCTAAAACCTGCACCCATCACTGCCCAGCCCCTGGGAGTGCACACAGAAGCAGGGACGGAGCCACATGGACTCTGACTGCTCATTTATGCATGCAGCTTCAGCAAATTCCCCGCAAAGTCGGCGCTGAAACGCGTGCGGCCGCCTTTCAAAAGCCAGCTGAGTGTCATGCCGGTTTCTCTCGCCACTCCTCATGACCACTCTTCAGCAAACCAGGCCAGGCACAGAACCACGCTCCTCACCCCACGACTGCAACAGCAGCTCCTCGCCACGCTCTGCATGGATGTGGAACAGCACCCAGCGGTCGGCCGAGCCTCGGTGCTGTCTGTGGGGTGTATTCGGGGATTATTCTGTGTCATGCTACTTTTAAGGAGGATTTTTGGAGTTGTACAGATTCCCCCATGTCTCCTCCTTTTAGGCTGCCTACAACCCGTGGATGCATTTGGTAAAAAAAAACACAAAAAAACAGAGAAGAGCCCACAGACACTGAGCTGTCTGAAAAGGCTCTGCTTGAAGGCTTTTTGTTGAAAAACACCAGTTCATCAAAACTGAGAAAAATACGGACGTTTTGAGCAAGACGGTGCTATCCCTGGTCAAAGACACAGGGATATGTCGAGCCACATTCCCCCAAAAAAGGTCCGTGGCTTTCCAGCAACAGCCCACTTCTGCAGGTCTGTGCCCTCCTCTGTCCCAGCCCCGATCTCTGCAGCACCACTCACGATTTCAGACTCAAGCTCTCCGGGATGCTAGAGGTGGATGGATGGAGCAGGAACACTAGCCCAATGCTCCCAAGCCTGTCCTCCACTTTTGGCACAATCAGCGCCTGTGTGTGCAAAAGTAGGTCCCTGCTTGGATTTCAAGCTGGGAATGGCCCTAAAAACCAAATCAAAGACAAATTCCCCATGGATTTTGCATGGCAGGAAGGTTAACTCCCCCTCTAGCCCTGCTGACGGCTCTCATGGAGAGCAGCTGGACCCTAAGTCATCATTTATCACTGCCCACGTGGTATCCAGCCATATACCAACTTGTAAAGAAGACTCACCAAAAAAAAAATAATAATTACAGGCATCTCTTCTTTTCTCTGAATAAAAGCACTCCAAGATTTCAAGTGGAAAAAGCACATTTCTCTGCACTAAGCCAGCTGCCTCCAGACCCCGTTCCCAACAGCAATGCGCTCGTGGCTCTTGGGCATCCCTGGGGGCTGGAGGACAGGCAGCTACATCCCAGTCCACTCGCACCCTAGGTGTAGGCACACACACAAGCAGGGTGCTGGGGACGGAGGGCAAGCAGAGGACGCGGTTGGCTCTCACCGTGGCCACCAGGAGTACCTTGGTCGGTTGCCTGCACTGGCTGCTTCTGCCGCGGCTGCCGGACCTGGATCCAGACCCACGTCTGGAGCCCGACCCCGGCCGGGATCCTGCGCTCCCACCGCTGCTGTGATCCCACTCTTCCTGGAAACAACAAACAGCAGGCTTTAGTCGAGGGCAGCGCCGTCCTGCACCCACAAAAAAACACCACAGCCCCCGTGGCCGCGTGCGCAAGCAGCTGGAGATACGTGCCCGTGCCTAATGGCCCTGTTTGGGGGTTTCTTGGAGCCCTTTGAAGCCTCTGGATGGAATTTGCTCATACTTACAGCTTGCAACGAGCTGGCATTGTGGGAGGCTGCAGTGATAAGATTTGGCTCTAGTTATCTAGTGTATGCATGGGGAAAAATAATACTTACCTCCCATAGCTTCATGGCGATTAATTATGCATGTTCAGCAACGCTACGTCCCCTAAAACTGCTTATATGTCCTTAATCCCCTCACAACCCAAATCAACTCCTCCGTTTGCGGCCTTTCAATGCTTAAAGGGCTCTTGTAAAAAGGATGGAGAGGGACTCACAGGGCGGTAAGGCCCTGGCACAGGCTGCCCAGAGACTTGGTGCTCACCGGCCTGACGTTACCTGAAAATACTTAACCAAGCAACTCTTTTTGCCTGTTACGGGCCTCACGTTCTCCTTTCTTCTCTTCACACCTGTCCTGCTGTCAAACACAGCAGGTTTCTTGTTCACTCAGCAACCCCGGGGGCAAACTGAGTCACCCCAAAACTGGAATGACGGACCCGACCTGCCAGCTTACCCAACCACACCGAGGTGCTCGGGGAGAAAGGGCTTTTTGTGTCGGGGTAATTGCTCCTACTGCCTTTCTCAGAGGCTTGCAAAAGACTTTTGAAGTGACCTGCGATGATTAAAACACCCGAAATCACAGAGTAAGGAATATTCGAGCTTTTGGCTTTGAAAATGTGGGAAACGAAAGGGGCAGTCTGTGCTCCTGGTGTGAGAGCTGGCATCTGGTTCTCAGATGTGGTTACCTGAGTGCTGGCACTGCCACCACCATGGCAAGGCCACCTCGGCCTTTAGCAGGCAGCAGGACCCACTGCACATGAATTTATCTTTTTTTTTGTGTCACTGATCCCGGAGGATTGACCCAAGGTGATGGACGGGAGGCAAAATTCATCCCATTTCTGCACTACCCCACTGCACATTCTCCAGCCGCAAGCACAGCAAGCTCCAAGCAAGCTCAAACATCTTCTGGTTGCTGCAGCCTACAAGCAGTATCAGCTCTGAAACAGGGAGGTCAGCTCGTTTTTGGGTAGCATTTAGATGAAGATTGAGAAATTGTGGTTCTTCCCACAAGACGTTGCCTTCGTGGCAGAAGGCACCTTTCCTCCCCAGCACAATTTGGCAATCCAGACATCCCGACGGCTGAGGAACACCGAGTGACACCCAGTTAAGGGAGTTGTTAAATTGGCATGGAGGTGGAAAAAAAATAATAAAAATCTATCAGTGTGAGCTGAGAGACATGGGGAGGTGGCCACTTTGGGAACTTCTGGGAACGAGCAAGCCTTGCAGGCATCCTGAGAAGTGAGAATAATTCGAATTTGACACAGGAAAAATACATAACACAGGCTGAAAAGGCAGCTGGGAGAGATAACTCTTCACCACCCAGCAGTTCAGAGGCTTAGCTACCAGTTTACTCTACCTTACATACTGAGCATCTTGTTCATCTACATCCGAAAAATGTCTGTGCCAAGTGCTGCCATGGGAGCGAGCCAGCACACACACCCTCCACTTTAAAAGAAATGCTGAAAATAAGCACTGCCATTTGGTTGTATTTACCCAACTTTTGGTCATGGTTGCCTGAAGCTATGCAAATGGCAGAAATGTGGCTGGCCACAATAAAACCCCAGTGAGAAACAGGGAGATTGGTGCCATCGTGCACCGACGTCTGGAGGCACCAGACAAACCAGCAGAAACGTCATGAAGTGATTGGGTAAAATCGTGGATATTGCTCTTACTGAATGAATTTGTCTCCTGGCTCCAACCCATGGCCTGGGGCCCTTCCCTGTTCACAATTCCCCATCTTCTGTGCTTTCTGCCCTCCTTTATCCATCCCTCTTAACATTTACATTTAAAAACAAACTATTTTAAAATAAAATCTGCAACCCCTGGGAAATTTCAGCAACTTTTACTGCAGACAGTCTGATCAACTGCAGCCTAAATACATCGTGTTCAAACTCACCGGCACAGCCGAGACCAGGATTTTACCTGACTTTCTGACTAATCGCCCAAGCTGAACAGCTCTCTGCTGCTACCAAAGCAAGAGCTCCTCCACCAGCACCTCTCCTGGGCACTTCCAGCAGCTTTGTGTCCTCCAACAAAGCCTTGTGCTGAAATGAGCCCTCTCCACAGACTTGTTTTTGAGAACAGCGAGGCACCAAACCTCACAGGTGATGCTGGAGGAGCATGCAGGTAAAGATCTTTCCTTAAAAACCAACCACGGAGCAGCCAAAGCCCTCCTCCAGCATCGCCAGGCACAGCAAAACCCTCCTGCTGTGCGCCGAGACGCCGCAGTGTCACCCTCCAGCCAGCAGCACGGCCACCCACTTGTGTCCCATGCATTTTTGGGAAACTCACAGCAAGGTGCACAAATAAATTTGCCTGATAAAACCTCAAAAAAATGGCTGTAATGGCACAGAACTCCTTCCCTTGTCTGTGCCTCTTGCCAATCCAATTCTCCCACATCCAGCCCCATTACTTCTTGCTACGCATCCCCAAAGACCAAGACTCTCCTCGTCTCTTCCCACACCCCAAAAGTCCCTGAGTTCTTGCTCCCAGCTCTTCCCCAGGCCCCAGCTACATTTCTAGGTCCACACTCACCACCAGGAGAGGGGACCTCTGCAAGCTCTGGGGCCTGGAGGCAAACATCGCCCCTCCAGAGCGTGATTCCCAGCGGCTGCTCTCATCCATGCAAATCCCTCTGGCCAAGCTCTGCTCCCCCTTGGGAACAGCAAGGCTTCTGCACATCAGCACCGCCAGACACCCTCCTTCGGAAGCTAGCTGTCAAATCCAACATTTACATTTTAATTAGCAATAATCATATGTTTCACTTACACTGCAATTTTCACCTTTGCAGCTCTTTGAGGCATGAACTAATTAATCCCGATCCCTCTGCCAGCTCAAGACTTATTTCTTCCTGGTGCTTCAGCGTGAGTTTGAAAACCTCATTTGCAGGAAAAAAAAAAAAAAAAGGAGGGGGGAGTAGCTTTCCTTGATGAGCAGGCAATAAATGGAAACACAGCAACTGCCCACGTGGAGATAAGGATGGGCAAAGTTCGCTCTGCTGGCAATGCCGCGAGCTGTAAGTGGCCTGAAGAAAACAGTGCATTCCTGGAGGGATTCCTGGTCCAATTTACACAAAATTCCTCCCATTTGATGCACAGCACTCTCAGGCTAAGGTAGGCCAGAGGAAAGGGACTTTTTGTGACACAAGTGCCTCAAGTTCCAGGTCTGAGATGCCACTGAGATTGCGATAAAGCTAAATCTTTGAATTTATAGGAGGCAGAATTTTGTGTCCAGGCTCCAAGTGTTTCAGGCAACATCTCCCTGCTCATCTAGACCTATTCAGGATCATCTGTTCCAGTTTTTCTACAGGAAAAAGAAGTATTTATAACAGAAATAATCGTTTTAATAATTTTAAACATAGGTTTTAAGAAAAAAAAAGTTATAAAATATACTGCAAATCTTCTAGTTAGAATGGATTTCTATCTTTATTCTAAATGCATTGCATTGAGACAAATATAAAACCAAAACAAACAAACAAAAAAGAAGTTTCACCCTTATAAAAATACCACACAGAAAAAAAAAACAACCGCATACAAAAGAACAAGCAGATATACCAACAGAGACAAGGAAACAATTCGGCTTCCAAGGAATTTGTGTCTTGAGGTGGAGTGTGTCTCGACTGCTTGATGTCTGATAAGGGGGTGCTGGGGGTACCGGCCACACAGCCACAATCCTGCCCTCTGCAGAACAGCTGAGCTGGCAGAGCCAGAGACCTAAACAGGGACCTCAGCACAGGCACTGCTGGAGCTCATCCACCCAAATCCAGGCTCCCAAGCACACTGCAGCTGCAGCCTCTCCCCCGGGAAGCCCTATGCTGGTGAAAAAACATGAGTGTCCTCTGCTTCCTCAGGGTGCCTGCAGCCAACAGAGCTTCGAGGAGGAGCTGAGGGACACAGCAGCACCTCTGTGCCTGCAGGTACCCAGGGATGGGAAGCGTCACGTCATGCACGCAACCTCAAACATCTGTTTTTTTGAAGCAGGTTAAAGCTGGTGCATAACTGAAACAAAAATCCAGCAGAAAAAACAAAAACAAAAACAAAAAAACCCAGCCCCAGGTCTGGGCAGCCTCCTACAGAGAAGCTGCTGGGTGCCTGCAGCAGGATCACTTGTGCCAGCACAAGAAGGTGTCCAAGCATCAGAAAATAGCATTTTGCTTTGCAAGTCTCTGGCATATGATGATGAGCCATGGGGCCAGATCCAGCCAGTGCTCGGTACACCACAGCTCTGGTACTGTGTGCTTCTCCATCAGCCACTCTGGCTCTGTCTCCTCATCCCCCAGGTACGTATCCACCTTCCCTCATCCTCCCCAGCTATGGTATCTGCTCACTGCTCTGGTGAGGGCACAGCAAGACACTTGGCACCACTCAGAGCTCTTCTCCAAGCAGGAGAAGTAAGATTTTACCTATTCTTGTGCCACAGTCCCACCACCCCTGAGGGCACAGACCTGCACAGCACAAGCACAGAGGGAAAGCTGGCTGTCCTCTCCTCCTGCTCTGCCCATTCGGCACAAACGGTGGCTCAGGGTGATGAGATGTCCTCCAACCCAAGCCACTGGTGACAATACACCTTGAGGATGCCCCAGCCTGCAGGGGGATGCTGATGGCCTGAACTGAGCAGCACCATGGGCCAGATGCTGAACCTCAGGGATTTCTGGCTTACTCTCCTCCCTTCTTTCTCCACACACCACAAACGCACTGCCATGACACAAATGTTCTGGACAATGAATATCACCCTTAAAGCAGCTATTGAGCTTGTACAGATGAGAAGTGGAACCAGTCTGCCAGGAGAAACACCATAAAATATAGGAAGCGACAGAGCAAAGGTCCATCTAGCCTTGTATCTTGCGTCCACCAGCAGTCAGCTGCAGATGGGAATGGAAAGCATACACATCCAAAGGTCACGGTGACCTCTCCCTCCCATATATTCAGTATATTCATGTCCCAGATGAACATGGATGTTGCAAACCCTGGAGAGCACGGGGAGCATAAATCAAACACCACAGGGCTGCTCCTTTTTAGAGGGAGCTGCTGACTCACAAGGCGGATCCCAAACACAAAAGCTACACCTGTACATCAGCTAAACGATTTAATTCCTTTCTCTGCAACCCTCCTCTCGGGCCAGATCCGAGCAGGGCTGTGCTGGCCATACAGAGGGAGTGTCACAGCAGCCACAGACAGAAAGCCATTACGAGACGGGTTTTCTCAGGGCTGCTCTTTGATCATGCGCCGGTCACCTCACTACTTGGAGATTTAATTTATTTTTCTGTGAGGCAGGGCTACAACAACCTGTTTTTTGCTGGCACAGCCCCAAAGTCACTCCCTGCCTTTTGCTTTCTCTTTCTGTGTTGGAAGTGAGACAACGACAACTGCTGTGTCCCAGCAGATCCTCACCAGGGCAGCCACAACCAAATCCTGTGGGAAAGCCAAGTCAAAGGCCAAAAACACACCAGAAAATCAAACGTTGGTCCTCACTCTACCTGAGGATGACCAGCATGGAATAGCTAGCCACAACACTAGCCTCCTACCTGCCGAAACAAGGCGACGACATGCACATTTCACCGCCTGTAATACGCAGCACTTGGCACCCTAACAGCCTTTCTAGCCGTGGCTTTATACAGTTGGAGGCCAAGTGCTCATTATCAGAGGGGGCTTTGAGGTTCAGGTGGACCACACAGAGTGACTTAAGGGTTTTAAGGGGACCTGCTACAATCCCACACAGCACAGCAGTCAGACACCTCCCCTGTGCAGGCAGCTGAGACGTCCTCTGCCTCCAGCTCGAGCTCACACAGCACAAGGCCTGTCCCAGGAGGACACCAGCACCTGAGTCATGGAGACCGAGATCTCACCAGAGATTAGCTGTGATCTCGTGGAGGTGTGGGAACTTCTCAGGCTTCTATTAGCAAGGCTTGGGTGCAGATATCTGCCTTCTGCTTGGTGATGATGGGGGACAGCCACCACAGGGAGGGTCAGGCCTTGCCAGGACAGGGTTTCGGCCTCCCCTCTCCCTCCTCCTGGAGAACTGGGACAAATCCTCATAAACTCTGCTTTTTGTTAGTGCCCTTTCCACGAGAGGAGCCTGGGATGGGGCTGCTGCCAGGCCTTTCATGTTCAATGGCCCCGCTGGATCCCTCAGTGCATACCATACCGGCAGCCTCTCGCTCGATGCATTGCTCTCAGAAATGTCTCAACGCTTCCTACTTGCCCCACGAGGGGAACGCAAGTAGAGTTATTTATATAAAATCCTCCCACTAGGTCTTTTTAGGAAAAAAAATCCCAAACATGAAAAGATTTGAAATGCTTCCATTATCTAAGCCTCCCTCGCTCATAGGGGCAATGCGGAGCGCAGGCAGGATCCGACACACACCATTTCTCACCCCACAGGCTGAAGGACACAGGGGGGATCCCCAGCCCCCATATGCAGCAGGGCTTAGTGTTCACAGCAGGGAACGAGGAGAATTAGGGATAAACACAATGAAATTACAAGACTGGGCTTTTCTCAGCATGCCAAGAGTTCTCAAAACATATGCCACGAGGTCCTGCATGAGCCTAAGATCCACAGTGTGATCCTTTCCCCCTCATGGACTGCCCAGAGGACAGGAATTACCCAAATTAAAGGTTTATGGGGAAATTTTCACCATTTCTAAGCAACTGCAGGGTGCTGGCCTGGGGGCACTGACCCCAATCGTCTCACAGCTGCTAATAGCAGCTGCCTCAGCTAGCAGTGTGAGAACAGGACATGTGTGGGGTGGTCTTTCCCACAGATACCCGAGAACCTCAGGAAAAAATAAAAATTTAAAAAAATATATAAAAAAATTAGGAATATCCTGTACTGCAGGCCGCATCAAGACACTTTATTACTACCCTTCAACAGGCGCATTGCCCACAGAGTGCTCTCAGCCCCCTGTGAACTCATTTGTACAACATCCTATGGATGCTTATATAAACATACACACTATAAATATGTACAAATGTTTATAGAAATACACAGCACACACATACAATGCTGGGGGAGGGAGGAACCTCCCTTTCACTTGCCTTAACCTCACTAGATGCTGGAGACAGCAGCTTCAAAGGCACCAGGTACTTGGGATGCAGAGGGGGATCCCAGGCATCGTCTCCCCTTTAACCTTTGGGAAGCCAATTACTTTTGAAAATGTGGTTCTGGACTTACTCCGCCTTAGCTGAAAGGGAACCAGCTGCTGAATACATTTCCAGGACTAACCTGGATTTCTAAACAAATGCCCTTTCCAATCGCTGGGGTAGAACAGCGCGAGGTACATTGCGGTCACCAGCATATAACACATACTTTCCACTGTAGCTGAAGCCTCCAGGAATCTCTCATCCAAGTATTTTTCAGCTAAAACTGGAGCCTATTGCACAAGCACAATACAAAAATCCCAGCTGGAAATGAAATATGAAAATCGAGAATTCTGTTTTCCAAGAAAAACTCTCAAAATCCATAAAAAATAGCAATGAAAAAAAAAAGGTAACAACATCCCTCAGGAAATAATTAGTAAGCTTTTTTCCCTAGCAGGTTGGAAGAGTGAGTGATAATTTACATGCTAGACAAACACCTTATTAAGGTGTTGTTTTTTTTTTTTTCTTCCTCCAATGTTTAAAGCTACCAGTGAAAAATCCACAGCCAGAAAGAGTAATAAACTGAACTGAATTCTCACCAGCAGCGTTTCACTTGTATATCACTAACAGAAAGAGAAATGTTGCCTGGACAGAAGAACAATAGCTTGCAGCTCCTCTTTGGTGCCAAGGAAAATTTGTTACTCGCTGTTAAAGGAAGCCCAGCATGGAGAGAGATAATTATTAGCTCTGCTGCAGGCTGGGAGAGCGCCCAAACGCAGGGAAAACAGATCAGGAAGCAGAGCTTGGGCATATACGGATGTTATTTGTATATACAAAACAAGCTCTGTGTCGGAGTGGATCAAAAGGGTTTAACGCCCAGGGAAAAAAAATAATAAAAATAAAAACAGAGGGGAGAACAAAAGGGAGCAAGGCAGAAGGCTGCTGACGGATGCACCACTCGTGCCGGCAGAGCAATGCGGTGCATGGGGAGCCCTGCTGGCTCGGGATGCCATCCTCTGACGTTCCTCATGGGGAAAAACCCAGCCCTGCCGACATCCCCGTGGCCCTGGGAGGCTTGGAGGCGGCGGCGAGCCTCCCACCTGAATCCCAAGCAGCTGGCCGTGCTGGCACACGGTGGTGATGGAGGGGAGGGAGCCTCGCCGAGGCTCTGCTGCAGCATGTTTCGGCTATCAGAGCTGCAAGAAATTGAATCCACCATCATGACTGCCAGCTTCAGAGGCTCTGCTGAAGTGAAATCTGCGTACAGTACCCACTTCTTTGCAGTAAAGTCTTCCTGACTTGTCTTTGGTACGTGCAGATGTTTGTAGGCAGTAGGATGGCAAGAAGGGCAAGAGCACCAAAATCTCTCCAAAATGAGATTTTAGATGGGATGAGTTACCTCACCCTTCCCCTCCTCCTTCCCACCAGCTCTCCCTGCCCTTTCTCTGCCCCTCACCTTCCTCACCCTCAATGGAAGAGGATTTTTTAGCTTTGTCCTAGCCCCTTGGTGCTTCCCCTGCTGTGGGAGGGGGAATCCAAGAGCCCCAGGGCCAGAGCCCCATCCTGCAGCTGACACTGCTGGAGCATCACCCCTGAAATATAAGGATATATTTAGGAGCTGAGCAGGTTGGCCTTATCTCACGGGGTTTTGCACTCCTTGCTTGTTTTGTGCCATGCTGTAGATTAAATTCCTGGTTGATACACTTCACTGAGGTACATGTGATCACCAAAACCAACTTACACCCAGCTTCCACTAGGGCTACCAACACAACGCAGGCTCTCAAGATTTGGGGGTTTGTTCCTCTTTCCACCTCACCCTCCCAGCGACGTGATCCTCTTCCCTGCACCACCACCCCGCGTGCAGTGAACATCCCGGCAGACACATAACCAAGGAACACAGCTCCACAGCACTCCCTGATCTCAGCAACATCTCTGCTCCCAGATCAGCCTCCCTGCTCTACACAGCTCCCTCGTACAGGTGTGATGAGGAGCTCTTCAGAAACAGATGGCACATCCCACTTTATGACAGAGAAACACGTTTTTGGTTGGAGCACCTATCAGCACGTTGGAAAGCTGCTCATCTCCTGTGGCTTCTGTAGGAGTGGGCTTTTGGAAGCAGACCCGAGGGATGAAGCCTCTCACTGCTTGCCTACATCCACCTGCAGCTCCCGAAGGGCAAGAAGCCGAGTGCCCCCCCAGGATGTGCTGGGGAGAAGCCCACTCCTCATGCCCCAAGCAGTGCTCCCGGTTGGGAGCTCTGGACCCCAGCACCCAAAACCTGGAGCATTGATCAGCAGAGGCTGGGTGGCACACAACCACACACACACACACAAAGGGGTGCACGAAAGCCCAAGGATGAACGTGCAGCCACGTCCCAGCCACAACATCCCAAAATGCTGCTCCTCAAGTGTGCGAAAACAGAATCTCCACTGTCCTCTAAGCCCTCCAAGAGGGGGAACCGCCGTGATGCCGAGCTGGCAGCACAGGAGACACAGTAGGAGGAGAGAGGCAATGCCTGGGGAGGAAGAGCTAAACACAGCCCTACCTGATTGTGTTCGTGAGACGACGAGCCCTTCCCTCTGGATGGGGAACAGCTGCCATCAAGCTGCTCACTACAATCCGCCGTCCACTGTAAAAGGGATAGAAAGGCATTGTGTAAAATAATAGCCGGGCAGGGGAAACTGCTGTGTCAGCCCACAGCACGCAGCAAACACCGCCCGGGCCAAGGGCATCACCGCACGCCTGCGGGTAAGCGTGTTTTTAGCAGGGACTGCTGGCAAAAGGCAGCAGGGCTCGTGCCCCTGGCTCTGTCAGGACATGGAGCAGCCCCAGCCTTCCCTCTGCAGCACCATCTCTTTTTTTCCAGAGAATCAGGGCTCCTTTTTACACGAGGGATGCTGATCTCAAAAAGCTTTGGCTGGGAAACGCTCCACCCGCGGGTGGCGAACAGAGGGAAGATTCACGAACAATTGCAGGAAGCTCCCGGAGAAGCTGTCACCACCAAAATCTGCGAGAGCCATCCCTGCACACCAGCCACGGTGCCGTGGGCAGCTGAAGGGTGCTCTGCAAGAAAAACACCCCCTGATTTTCCCTGCAGGCTCCAAACTCGGCGGCTCGGGGCCAGCGCAGCCAGCCTGCCTCAGCTGCACCTTTAGAGATCATGGGGGGGATAAAAAAGTGATGTTTTTATTTCAAAATGGGACAAAACAGTGCTGCAGATTCAGCCAAAACGTTACACACCACAGCTGCAGCAATGCCTCAAAATGTTTCAGTTTGGGGCCATTTGATACCCACTCCACGAGGAAAAAGATACTGTTTAATCCTAAAATCATTTTGATTTTTCTGCCACAGCTGAGACTGAACCTTTTGGACCATTCCCATTTCTGAGGTCTTTCATCCTGGGACTGTCACCGCGCGGGTGCCCTCATACCATGGAAAAATAATGATAATAAAATAAAAGTTTACATCCAAACTGCAGAAACAGCAACCAACCGAGAGCTTCCTGGCAGGCAGGGATGAAGCCGTGGGGCGGGACAAGGAGCCCAAAAGCCACGTAAAGCAATCCCTGTGCTGGGATCACCACGCCTGGCCCTCGGTGGGCTGTTATAACCCACCTCTGCCTCGCACCACCCCGTTCACAGGCTGCTTTCCTAATGTGCAGCTCCTGTTGGCACGTCGGAGCCTTCTGCTGGGAGCAGCTATTTGGGATGCAGCACCAGATGCATCCCCTCTCCAGCAGAGAAAGCATTACTGCGGCCACGAGGAAGCGCCTCGGAGAGATTGAGGAACTTGCCCCAAGTTAAAGATTAAGTCGCCGGCCCAGCCTTGCAGTGAAAACAATTTTCTTGGTCTCAGTCCAGCGCCTCAGCCATAAAGCCATCCTTTCTGCTCTGGCTCTGGCTGAAAGGGAGCCTGCTGCCCTCAGTCAGCCTGGAAAACCCGTGCAGCCCGCACCAGCTCCAGGCAGTGACTCCAGCGAGGGGCAGGATACCTGCCTGTTTATGGCTGGCTCTGATAAGGAGCAATCAGGAAGAGAACAGCAGAAATAAATGATCCCAGATCACTTCTTAGCGCAGATCTGGGGTAGGAGGCAGGTGGGACAGCGAGCACCTTTTGGAGACAAGAGGTAAATCCTTCTTAGTCCATCCCTGAAAGCATGGCTTGATAAAAGCAGGATACATCTAGAAACTCAGCCTCGCTTCTTGTCCCCTGTGCAGCCCTGAGTAATGCAAAACACTGCACTTCCCTGGTGAGTCACACTGAAATCATATTTCCACGTAGGGACCCGCAGTCTGAGGTACAACCACATCACGCTGCTTAACTTGAGACGCCTTCAAAAGCAGCATAATTAAAAGAGTCAGTGCTCAAGTCTTCTGTTACTATTTTTCTTTTGAAATAAAATCTGATCATCTCTCGAGGCAGTATCCCTAAAATTGACATTAAAAACAAACAAACAAACAAAAATACACAACAAAAAAGCAGCGTCTTTCACGCAGTCCCCATTTCCCACAAACGCAGGATGGATTTGGTTGTGGCAGCCAGGGGTCCACATCTTAATGCAAAAACTGTAAGTGGGCCCTGACCAGAACTAGCAGCTTTTGTCCTGAGGACGCAGAAGGGGACGCAGGCTCCAGGGCAGAGGTCTGGGCAGAACAAACCCCATTTACCCCATTTTCCAACCACGCTCCCATCTCATGCGCAGTCTGGGTGACAGCTTTTAAGTGAGTTCCCGATTTCATTTACCTTCTCCTTTACAGGAAGGGGCAAATCAGGATGAGAATTTCCCTCCTGCTCAGAGTTAAGCCTCCTCTGAATTGCAAAGTGGTTATAAAACTTTGACTGTTAATTTATTTCTAATTCAATAGTGTTCCCCAACTTGACACGTCAAATGAAGCAGCACTTGCCTGTTTGACCTGATGCCCCTCCAAAGCATCACTTCAAACGCAGCCATTTTCCAGCCCGGGGTTACAAAAAAACGCACCATTGAAGTGCTCGGGATCACTCGATTTTTAAATGCATTTTCCCCACTTGTAATGTCTTTGATCGTCAATTCGCAAAAGACCTCTCTTCAGCAAAACCTACTCTTTAGAAGGTTCCTTTTGCTGGTGATTTCTTCGTGCCGATACGTTATACTAATACATAAAAGCAATCCCACAGCAAGCCTGGCTTAGGAAGAGGTGCCCTGCCCCCCTACACAGTTCTGGAGGTTTAATTTCTCCTCGTGTGGGAGATAAAAAGCCAATTTTTAAAGTTTTTTTTTTTTTCTTTTTTTTTTTTCTCCTATGACACCACCAAAACCTCATCTCCCTTAAGCAATCGCTCTCCTTGCTGGGTATTTGCTGGGTATTTGCACCCTCTGCAGCAGGGCAGTTTGCTTCTCTGACCCAACACTCACAAAGCAAGCAAACAGGTACCTGTACACATTAAAACATGCAGTGATGTTAGTGGGCACAGGGGGATTTTGATGCCTTTAGCATCTCCATCTCTTCACTAACATCCTTACGGACATGGAGAGAAGCAGCATGGGCAGGTAGGGCTGTGGGAACACTTCTCAATATTTGGATACTCCCTTTGCTGGGTTTCTGCAGCTCTTCCTAAAGCTGGTGGGATTTTTTGGGTGAAGAAGTGCGTCGTTTGGGCCAGACCCCACTCACATATACCCACTCCCAGGGGACAGCATAGAGGTGCCACCCAAACGGCACCCAGGCGCATGCACCCTGCCAGCCCCCATGTGCAGGGGGCTCTCACCAGCATCCTTCACTTGACACAGCAACCCTGGAGAAGCCAAAAATCCTCAAGGCACACCCCGAGACCACGTTATGACAAATACAAGCAGAGCTGGGGGGTCCCCAGCTGCCCCAAACCCATCATCTCACTGCGTTTCTGTGCTTGGAAAGCTTCTCTGGCATCACCCAGCCCCGCAGCTCCCCTCAGCCCACCCACCTGCGAGATGTTGGACTGGGTCTTCTCGCTCTCGCCGTCCCCTTCTGTCTTGTCGGTGAGCAGCCCCTGCACCTGGTACTCCAGCACGTAGCTGTCGATGAAGCGCTCCAGCTCCTCGATCTCCTGCGAGCGGCTGCTCCCTGCCTCCGAGGAGGCCGACGCCACCGACGAGTTCTCCATCACTGCAGCTGGGACAGCGGGAACTGGGGGAGCCTGGGAAGGGAAAAGGATGGAAATTGAGTCCTCGGCCAGCTGCTGAGCCGTGCCTGCCTCTCCCACGAGCACAGATGACCTTTTTTTCCTTAGCAAGCATTTTTCTCCCACCGTCTCCGAGGGACCCCCTCGGCAGTACCGCATGGGGAGGTTCACGGTACAGCCTCCCAGAGCCACCACGTGCAGCAGGACACACAGACACCAGAATAACATACAGATGCCAGCAGGACACACGGATGCCAGCAGGACACACGGACACCAGCAGACCTGCTCCAGCACCCCAGCTCACCCTGCACGGTCACACTCCGAGGCTCAGCACGTCCACGAGCCCATCGTGTGGTCCTGCACCTAAGGGCCACGACAGCATTTTCCTATCCTCCTCACCACCAAAGCGGTCTGGCGAGGAGGTTTGGATGTGGAGGTGAGACAGCGACCACACCAGAACCTATTTTTACAGCCTCAGCTTGTTAAAAATGCATTAGAAAGAGGGAAAACATCCTGCAGAGCACCACAGTGCGCTCTGCACCAGCTGGCTGGCTGGCAGCCCCATGTCCCCACAGGGACAGCATCGCCCCAGGGACGCTCTGCCTCCGCAGGGATGCTACTCTGTAGGGTGCACAGGGACCTCAGGGCTTGTGCCTGCCCCTGTGGCTGATGCCAGGGGACCAGCAGGTAGCCCAGCCAGGATGCAGGCCTTCAGAGAGGCAGCAGCACACATCGCCACGTGCTCTCCGTGCAGATCTTGAACGTGGATAGAGTCAAAATAGGAACAAAAGGAGGAAAAGGCTGTGCAAAATACAAAAAATGCAGGTGCCAAATTAAACCACCGGCTCTCAGGGCTTGGTTCAGCTGCCTAACTGTCCTGACAGCTGCCCATCCCTCTAGCTCCTGCTCCAGGAGCACAGCCCTCTCCTAAAAGCGCACATGCAGCCTTCTGCTGGCACAGTAAGAAGCCATTACCCAAGGGCTCACGTTACAAACCCTACTGGGAGAGTAGGACAGTCTCGTTCAGGGCACAGATCACCAAGGAATTAGGAGCTGTGCTGCAAAACAAAATCAGAGCCCTGCAAAACAAAATCAGAACACCTCTCCAAAGCCAACATGTGAGAACGGATGCGCCCCTGCGTACTCGTATGCCTCTGCAGGAGGTACCAGGGACTGAGTTCAAGCCCTTTTACCTCCTCTGATCCACAGAGGAAATTGAAAATTTCAGCAGAAGATCCCGCAGCTGTCCCTCAGCCAGTGAGTGAGTGGGGACGTAAGGAGCCCAGCAGCTGGCACCCAGACCAATTGAAGGATGTGCATCTGCTGAAGAGAAGCTGCTGAAACCCCAAACGTGGCATCACCAGTAAGGGCAGCTCGGAGGGCACTGATGTGGACACCACGTGTGCCTGCCCTGTGCATCCGTCCCGAAATACTGATCTCCTCTGCAAGCCTGCCAGCGCTGCTTTAAGACAACAGGCCACCTCCTTCACGATGTCAAAAAACACTGGATTTTGTGCATGCACGCTGCGTGGAGGACCAGCACGGCTACAGGATGAACCCGGGGAGGTCCCCCCCAGGCACTGACCCCGGTGGGAGCTGCAGGGGCTGCGAGGTGCAGCTGCAGGCTCCTCGTTAATCACACGGCAGCTCCGCACCCCCCATCCTCCAGGGAGCCTCGGCAAATTAAAAACGGAAGCAGCACGGGGAGGGCTGGCAATTAGTGGAGATCACTCACTACAGCTGCGAAATAAACATGACATCTCCTGTAATGGCAAACACGTCTCGCTCCCCCAAAACACCCCAGCCCCGGGAGCAGGCTCCGGGCATCCCGGCTGGCAGGCGGTCAAACGCCAGCAAGAGCCACAGGGGAGCACAGCCCCAATTTCCCCGACTCGAGAAGGCAGGTGGCCACGCTGAGGAACATCAAAGAAGGGCTGTCAAAATTAAGTATTTTGCACTTGACCCAAAAACCGGGGAACTTGCTGCACGACGGGGCCAGGAGGAGCCTGGCAGCGGGCTCTGCGCCACGAGCGCATCGATGCAGCCCTGCAGCAGCCAGAGGAGGGGATCCACACAAAGGGAGCCTCCCAACAGCCTCTTTTGGGAGTAGCATTTTTTTTTTTTTGCATTTTGAACAAATGCAGAATTGCATCGACCAGCTGCCAGCTACTTCTCGTGCAACTGCAAAGCCGCGTGGTGTTTGCACATGGCTTTGAGCATCCGGGGAACAAACGCCTTCCCATTTCTGTGGCTGAATGCCATGCTCACACCTTAAAGAAACCACCAGGCTTTTGCACCTGGGATGGGAAGGGGTGTGTTTCCCCGTGAACCAAGCAGGATTTAGGGCCAGAGCCTTGCAGCAAGGCTCGTGCTCCTCCCTCCCTGCGGGTGGCGGGGTGAGGACACAGAGATTTCATCCCTCGCCCTCCCCTGCTCCAGGAACCGGTATTTACAGCCTGGTTGGAGAGGAGTGTAAAATTACCGAGCAAAATCTGAGTGAGTCACATGCCATCCGGAAGGGAAGAAGAAAAATCTGTTCCCAGCTCGTGCAATTTCCAGCTCCCGAACTCTTTCTCATCTGTCACTTCGGAACAATTGCGGCTTCATTTGGAAGCTGCCGAGAACGAGCAGTTCTGGCCTAAGGATTTCGTCTGCTCAAGGAATTATTCCCAAATGTGCCCAGACTGTCAAAAAGGCTCATTATGTAGATCAATATCACACATTAGCTCCCGAACAAAATCATGTGGCATGTTAAGAAGGCAAAAAAAAAAAAGAAAAATTAAAAAAAAAAAAAAAGAGCCCCAGAGAGCATGGAGCCTCGGCGGAGGGCATGCTTCTCACCCCTTAGCTAATTAGTGCCAATTATCAAGTGGAAAGCGCCAATTATTAAATAGGAAGTGCTGAAGACATTGTCTAGCCCTGAGCTGGAAGCACAGGTGACCACAGCACGTCCTGGAGAGCACGGCAGTGCCTGGAGGTGGCCGTGCACGGGGAAGGGGATGGGGGTCACCAGTTTGGAGAGGGGCTCAGCCAGCAGGGCCCAAGGGCGGTCTGTCCCCAGGGCCACAGCAGCACGAGAGGGCTTTTTGCCCTTTTTTTGGGGTGATGCTGGAGGGCATGGAGCTAAAGGAAGGTCTTACTGGGTTGCTGCCCTGGGATGCTCCTCCATGTACCCACCAGCACTTTGCACATTTGTAACAGGAGAGATGGACGGAGAGGGAGCGGGTTTGGGCAAAGCCACCAAGTGCACCAAACAAGCCCAAATCTCATATTTGAGACATTGCCGGGTCTCTAGCAGAAATATCCAAAGATGAGTCATTTTCAGGACCTCCACCTCCCTAAAGGAAAGCAGAGCTCATCCATGGAAGTGCCCCGTATTTATGGTGATGAGTTACCCTCTACGCTGGGTTTAGGATCATTCTTGCACCCCAGAGCAGGTGTCCAGGCACTGGCAGCAAAGCAAGCTGGCCAGTCTCTCCCAGTTATCGTGTAACTGGCCTCCCCACTTCCACCAGAGATGCACCAGTACTCCCCAAAACGTGCCCAGGTGAGGGCTGTTTGGCCGCCATCCTCAGGAAGCCTCTTCACGCAGGGCTTTTTTCTGCTGGTGTTACAGATTTCTGGGCTTTGCCGAATCCCAGCAAGTGCAAGATGAACATGTTGGGCAAAGCAAAACCACAATCACAGGTTCACAGAGGGGCTGCTGCTGGTTCCTGCGAGCACACAAGCCATTCTGGAGCTCAGATGGAGCTTGTAGGACCCCCCTCGGGATGGGAGGCAGCTGGCTCGATCCGCTTGTGAGCTCCTTGGGGAGCAGCCGCCCCTTGGACTCCTGGTGGCACAGTGCCTGCTGCCCAGGATTCCCAACCCAGAGGTGTATCCTATATGGTAATTAACAGGGAACGACCTCAAATCCCTATTATGTCTTCCTGTCTCCCTGTCCTTTGTCAAAGCACAAAGGCCATAAGCTCTTGGGGTCTGCAAACTACCTTCCAAACCTTGGCCGCAAAGCCCAAGCCCTGCTCATTGTTACCACGAGGCAGGGAACCAGCAGCAGAAAGAGTCTATAGATGTGCAAACCCATTATTATGACCTAGCAGTGATTAATAATAATTATACATTACAATGAAGTTAATAGCTGTTATTTTAAAGAGTGATCTAAATGGGGTTCTTCCTTTAGCCCTCCGATTGCGCAGTTTTAGCCTTAATCAGCACGTAAGCTCAGCAAGAACGAGCATTTTTGGGGCATGTTGGCAGCTAAAGCTGCAGGATTTGGGCTGGGCAGCTTCTCCTGGGCAGCACAGCCCCCCATACAGCACTCTGGGGCTTGTCCCAGCAATGAGAAGGACCCGCAGCCACCAAACCCAGCAAGTGGCGACTGTGCTGCCCACCCCTCCAACCACTTGGCCACGGCTTTTCAGACATGGGATGAGAAACTCACATGAAGGCACCAAGCCTGAAAACCTGCATTTTTGTTACTTTTCCCCCAGCTAATCACCGAAAGAGTTCCCGTGCTGCTCCTCCAGTATGAAAATAGAGGGCAGGAGGCACAGCACCCAGCCTGGCACCTGCAGGACGCACGCTCTCTGGCTGACAATCTCCCAAAAATCCCAGGGCAGGCCGGCCAGCACGGCATCAAGTTGTTGTGAGGCAGGCTCTGACAGCCTCCAGAGCTGCTCTGATGGATCGCTGGAAACCTTTTTGCCATGTGGGATCCATCACACCGTGTTTTCCTAGGAACGGGAGCTGGATCCTATAAAAGGAAGCTGCAGCGCAAATTCCTCACGTACCAGCGCAGCCACCTCCCTCGCTGCCGAGAGCCCGCTGCAGCTGGGCTTCCAGGGTCCCCGTCACCTTTCTGGGTGGTTTTCACTTTGTTTTGGGAGCAATGCAAGCGTTAACCATGGCACCTCCTCTGCAGAAGGACCCTGCTGGCTGCGGCTCACAGCCACACAGCTCACATCTTGCTCCCTCGCCATGTACCCACCGTCTTGCCCAAGAAATTTCAGCAGCCT